TGTGCACATGAGAAAAGCTTAGGTGGATTGAAAATCATCTTCTCATGTTTACCGTTTAACAATTTCCATTTGTATACTATTTACAGTCTCAATATTAGACAAAAAGGTAGGATTGTTTTCATGTGAGTGTCAAAAATGGCGCTTAAATTAAATCGTGAAAGAGAGATATATTTCATTTTATCATGAAAAGAAAAAAAACATTTAAAATGCATTGAATTGTTTTCTAAGCAGAAAAAAATGCTATTCGAAATCAACGATTTTTGAAAAAAAAAAAAAGATATGGCTAAAAGAATTGGTGGTTGCAGCTTTCTCAAAAATAAAGGCATTTTAAATATATACATGTACCTTTTCCCCAAAACATCGTTTTGTAATAAAGGGCTAGTCTTAGATAAACATAATCTTGTTTCCAGAAAAATCTATAAATAGTAGAAATCATAAGAGATAAAATGTCATCAAGGAATAGGTTTTTTTGCAAAGTTTTGTTGTTATTTGAGGAAAAAGTCGTTAACACTGACTTATTTCAACCCATTTTATACTGATGCTATGTACCTGGTTCTTTATACGTTATTCTCTATCAAGGTTAATTCGACCTACTGCTTTCCGCTAGTAGCCATTTTTCCCATATTGATCTATCATGACATTGAGAACTTAAAATGATAAGCAAAATTCCCAGTGCATTCAGTTATCCTTGAAAATTCTGTGATATTAGTTCTGGCGATCGTTGCCTGAATTAACCGTGTCTGAGAGTAAATGTCATGGAATTATCAGATGTAATAAAGAATGTCGTAGACGAACCCCCCAGACGAGAGCAATTCTGAGTAGTCATAAACCGTAGACCAAAATTACCCGGATGAATACTAACTGTGAAATCAATTTTCTAATTTTCGTGGAGGTTTAATTTTCGTTGTGTTCGAGGTATGGAGAGACCCACAAATTCATGACCACCACGAAATGTAAAATTTCATAAACGTAACTACTCATCACGTCCTCATCCAAGAAATCATATAGCCCCCAAACCAACATTTCCTTCTTCAAACCTCGATAATTTGAGCCTTCGAAAATGTGATTTCACAGTACTTGTTGAGTTGATGAACTATCCCTCATTTTTCTGCTCAAATTCAAATAGTAAATACCTTAAAAAGACAACCTCATTCCACAATATAAGGCCTTATCCGAACTATTCTACGTTTTGAATATTTGTTCTGAACATACATTATTAATATCTTTAAATCTCGTTTTACATACATTGGATGTCCCTCTTCTAACCTTTTGACAATCAAGTGTTACCAAAATCGTGACATAGAATCACTTAACCGATGTTTCATATCCTAAAAGAAATATAAGTGAAGTATTCCAAGTATACCCCTAAGATGTAGGTTAACAATTATCACAATATCTGCAACACTAAATGCCACTAAATGCGACATTTGGGTCATTTCTTTGATTTAAAGAGTAGTTTGAAAAATTTTTATGACAGGTTGGGAAATAGTATACAATTATGGACTCTTTTGGTGGTGATTATGCTTTAATTGTCAGTATTAACTGAGGTAAAGTAGAGTACGTGTTATGCGCATTATATAATAATATGTATTATCTAATGCGTATAAAGAGTGTCTTGTTTTTACAGCAGGGATAATAAGTTACTTAGTATTTTCCTTAATTTGTATCATGAATATGTTTCCTTACTTTATCTTAGAATGTCTTTGAATGTACAATTTCCAGATCTATTGTAAATTCTTCTGTATACTGTTGCTCCATCAACATTTTGTTGATCAGAAATTTTCCGCCAATCTTCCGGGTTATAGATATATAAATAATTTAGAAAGGAAAATATATTTGAATTCTAACCATAAACTGCCAATCATTTCAGTTTATCGATTGTTCTTAACTTTTATTGGTTATTGATAACGGTTATCTCAGACTGGACTTAATCAACTCAATATTAGTCCAGTATCAAAATATATGCGCATACATACATCACGTACTCTCAGAAAAAAAATGAAAATTAATTGTGTTTAAAAGCTTTTTGTATCCATTAACATTTCCCACAACATGCAGATGGATATTCAAATCCTGTTTAAAAGAGCATATAAGTCGATTTAAGCGCTGTGGCACCAGTTTTGTGCAGGATGTATAGAATTATGCGATACAGATCAGTGTATCAATCTAAAACTGGATAAAGAATCAGGAAGCAAAGCTGGTAAAAACACAATCTATATGAACCCAACACATCATTAACGCCATACCATCAATAACGATGACATAGTTATTATCTCCTACAAACGTACTCACATTTCCTCTGCTATTTGATGCACGAGGATTGGGTGTTTTGTGGCCACGTTTATCAAAAAACATTTAAAACCGTATGAGGGATTTTAATTAAACATGGGTACAACATTACACGTTAAGAGTACAAATCAATACAAAAATTCCGGAACAATTCTTCGTGAATGGACGTGAAAAGGCTATGCCCATCATTAACTTGACTGTAGTGTCAGAAATTAGCAAGGAAAGAAAGGGAATGGCCGGTTTAATTACCGGATGCTGTTTCTACATCATGAAATTTTACTATGCATTATGTACATCTTATATCGTAATATGTACTACACAACTCAATAAGAAATTTGCAGTAGTTTTCTTTATTTCAGAGTAATTGACAATGTGTGCGGAAAATATTTAATTTTTACGACATAATTATGGTATCATCTCTGTTTTATGAGTATACCGGCTATTATAAAAACATATTCACCTATGGGGTATAGTGCACGCAAAATAAAGTTCACAATCGTATCAAAAACATTATTTTTATCAGAATTATAAACGGGGAAAATGAAAGTAAGTAACTTAGATTGACTGTGTATATGGCAAATTACTCTACTGACGATTACATGTATTTTAACTGGAATTATCATTACACGAAGTAAGGCAGATACTATTGAATACTTTTTTAATGAACCATGCCGTACAAGCTTTCACAGCTTAGATGTATTGTCATCCCCTCGTTCTATCCGGTAATACTTTAATTTGAATTGAATTGTTCTGATATATTTAACTTGATTTCAAAAACTAATTTATCTAAGCAAAAAAAAAAAAAAAGATTAAAAACGTTTGACCAGATCATTTAAGATATATATATATATATATATATATATATATATATATATATATATATATATATATATATATATATATATATATATATATATATATATATATATATATATATCTTACGAGAAATAGAAATGATAAGTTCAGAAATGAGGAGGTTTTTATTATAATTATAATTAAAAAAAAATAGTTGTTAAATGAATGACAGTCAAAAACGGAGATATCAAAAGAACTCTGACAGAAAAAAAAAATGAAGGCAGCGAGGTTTCTAAAGATGGGATAGAATTCATGCAAGATTTCATTTTAGTTACAATATCATCGTAGTTTTGTTCCAAGAAATAAAAAAAAACAAAACCTGATAAATATTTTTAAAACTAAAATGTTACATTTGCGTAAGCAAATGGTTGTAAAGAACGTATAAAGAAATTCGGTCCAAGGTGATTTTCCGAGAAATAAAAATTCTAATTAGGTTTAATTAAATGTTAATTAGACCTATATCAAATGAACTTGAACGTATAAATACAACTGTATGTGATATAAAATATGATTCTATTTTTTTATTAAGATTATATAATTAGGCCTTTTCAAAAAACTATCAGACATCAAGACATTTTTCGACCTAATAATCGATCTGATCGTGTTCACTGACCTAGTAAAAAAAGTAAGGAATACACGAACCTAGTTTCCATTGCAATTCCCCGAGTAGTATAGGATCTGATCTTATAATAAAGTAATTCCTAAAGGTGCCATGAATAATTCATTATAAATATTCTTACAATTCCTGTGCCAACGCTGTTGCAAAAAGCTGAGAATTTGTTGAATTCTCGCATTGTTTGAAACAATAATTTGATTGGATATCAATTTTTCAAGGTCTTTTAGGCCGCCTACAGATCGATGCCAGTATTCATTGATAAAATTTGTCTCCGCTTTTACTAGAAGCGCATCGATTATGGTTTCCGCGCTGCTATATAATGGACTGAAACGCATTTTCAAGTTATCATTTGACAAAAACTTTTTTGAAATCTATTCTCTGGAACGATTTAGGATACTTTTTTTTTTTTTTAATTTTGGAGGTTATTCTGTTATAAGGTATGATAAAACTTTTTTTTAAATCTCAAATTAAACCTCGTGAAATTTTTATCAAATCAGGAGCGATTGCTAAATTTTTTATGATATTTGTGTGTTTGACCATTCTACAGCTATCTTTAATATGTAATGAGCATTTTTATGCATGATTTCCAACTTTCTCAATGCCCTAGTTATCTGAAAGAAATTTTACTTTTTCAAAACTTTTCCTACTTTAAATATGCTCTTTTATGATATTGACGTCCTTTATTTATTTATTATTAAAGTAATCACTCAAGGTTTATTTCACTTTTTTGCATCTCACAGGCGATGATTAAATACCAGCGAATTTTTTTCCATAGACGTTTATGTGTGTATCAGCTTCAAAACTTCATATGTTGCTTAATAAAAACCTTATTATGTCGGTTGTACGCTTACGGTATTATCTTTTGGTCTTGCTTAGTAATCCGTGAAGATAATGAACATCAACGTGCCGCTTGTTTTCCAAACAACAACTAAAATCTGTTTAAAAAGTGTTTGTTGTCTAGTAATCTAGCATTGCAAGATGGGTGTTTTTTCAAACTGTTACTAAATGTAATTTGTGATGTAGTTTTCTTTTGTGTATGTTAAAGTAAAGATAATTATGAATAAAACTAGTTGCCTACTCAACCGTATTTACTTATAATAGCTACAGATCATGTTTGACATGTTGCATACATCGGTATTTCTGTACATATTCGTAATGATGACATATTTCATTTAAGGAAACTAAAACACCCTTTGCTTTTTTTCAGGCAAGGTATTGGAAACCTGAAATTGACATCAGTGTAAAATGAATATACTTATTCCGTTTATATGGTGCATTTTAGAGCTCATGATCAGCTCTGCTGAAATATCTCAACACATTTCAAAATTTATGCTAACAAAAGATCGACGTGCCAGTTCAACTGTCAGAAATATTTCTACTCGATATACAAATTCATCTCGCTCAAGAACTGTCAGTATTCATAACTATCTAGAAGCCGAGCGTAGGAAAGATTATATTCGAAGACAAATCTGCCACATATTAAAGTGTGAGGCAAATCAACAGCCGTCAACACAGCCTTCAACGATAAAGCCACAAGTACCAAAAGACAACACACAAGATGATCCCATACTGTCCGAACCTGCAGGTAAATATTGACTAACTCTTGATGTGAAAAACGATATCTTTCTATGATGTTTCAAAGATATTGATCATTACAATTCGTTATTATATACACGTTACTTCTGGACTGTCCAAGATGATTACCACACCACAATATCTTCTTCAAAGATGATGCAATTAATGAGAAAAAAGTCATGCATGCTTGCTAATCATGAAATATGAAGATATTCAATATCAGTATTCAATCTCGAAAGTCCAATAAAACGATACAAATTTGGAGCAGAGAAAACATGGACCTCAAAATTTAGAGCCATGGAGGAGTGAGCATCCCCTGCCGACCGGTAAACCCACCGTGTGCTCCTTGTCTTGATCGGGAAACAAAAAACCGGAAAAATCCGTGGACAGTTCAGAGTGTCATATATTTCTTTAGTTAGATCAATTCATTTTTATTCTCGTAACAAAATGCACAATAAGAAGCCTTTCTGCGGGCTCTTTTCTTTATAAATGATAAAAGAGCATCATAAAGATCGTTTAAATGTTAATGGTATTAATTTGCTTACATTCCTGATGTTGTAATAAAATTAGACTCTAATACTCTTGGAGGATCTTTTTTAAAAAATACGATGATTTTATTTTCAGATTTCACAAAAGACACAAGTTGCATGCAATTCCCTATTCCAGTCCAGTATCTGAATCCAGATGTCAAACTAAGCAATGGCGATATAAGGGTTTATATCAAAGTGAAGAAAAGAAAAAACAGGAAAAGAAAACGAAAGATCTCCCTAAGGGTGTCACTTATAGATAATAATAATAATAATCAAACTATTATTGCTAGTAGAAAATTTAAGCTTAAAAGTACAAAATGGCAAAACATCCATCTCCCATCAACTTTGATAAAATCAATCAAAAAGCAAAGAATGAAAGTTTTGAAAATTTGTATTCACTGCAACAAATGTAACAAAAAGGTGCGGGTGGAGTTTCCTTTAAAAAGAAAATCGAAAAGAAAGAAGAAGAATCAGCGACGTCGAAAAATACGAAAAATTAAATTAAGAAAAAATCGCCCAAGGCTTTTGTTATATTCAAAACGAGAGGGGATATCAGATAGATTTCGCAGAAATACGTTTAAGACATGTTCTGCAAATTGCTGCAAAAGAATCCGTTTTATTCCGTTCAGTAGTTTACATTTACCTCAAGAAGTTCTGTTTCCAAGTGGCTTTACATATGAGGAATGCACAAAGTGTTCTGAAAGCTTCGACACCCTGACCTCTGACCTTGCAAATGACGTCACTATATGTAAACCAACACAGAAGTCTCCACTCAATTTGGATATCAAATTTGAGGATGGCATTGAGTTCACTCTATCTATACCAAATATAAGAGTAAACAAATGCCAGTGTCATATACAATGATCAATATTTAGTGTGAGTACTTTTGTGTATAAACGGGTAATTGAATTTATAGAATATTTTTTTATGATTGTGCGCATGATTGTATTTTGTGATCAAAAAGTGTTTGTTATAATATGCTGTTCATGTGAATCTCGAGTTGAGGTCAATATTGTTATACTGTTATCCTACCGAACCTATCCATTTTTGTTTTTTGTATGCTTTATAAGCACGGTTGGGTCAAAGTGTTCTGTAAGCTTAGAAATCCTTTTTTAATCACAATTTTCATTTTTTATTGTTGCAGATAATTGATTCTCTGCAAAGTTTAATCAAATCTTTACATTCAGTTGTAAGATTAGAATATACATTTCATTAATTTGGATCAAACCTACCGAAAATCAGTCATGGTTTTATTTTAAATTTTTTATTCTACATTTATAACTAATATATAAATTACTACTCAAAAAACAAACTGTTTCACGAACACAAAGAAGAGGGTATGGTTTTAGCTTTATTGTGCCCTAAAAATTTAATGCTTTCAAAAAGTTTTGAAACTGGCTTAAATATTAGTTGAGTATATGACTGTAATAAATCAGGAAAGAATATAGCATGATGGAGTACCATTCTTGATATATGACGTCATTAATTTGATGCATTTCTCTATTTTAAACAGAAAAAGCCTCAAAATGACCCATTTCAAGGGTTATTTTCCTTAAGAAAATAGTGTCCACAGCCGTCGCCCACGTTAATTTTTAGATATGTTGTGTAAAATTCTTTGAAAAATCACATATCTCAAAATCTTTGTGGGCGATGCCTGTGGACAATATTATCTGAAAGAAAATTCCATTGAAAATTGATGTCTTCTGCAACTTTTAAGAAAATACGGGAAAATGCACAAGTTTATGACGTCACAATTAGCATTTGGAAGGTCATGTGAGAAATAAGATTTGTATGATCTTACTGCATAGAATTTCAATAATTCAAAAAACATGAGTTTTAATTTTTTACAACACTTTTATTTTTTAGAAAAACACAGGGCAAGATTTGTATTGAAACCGTACCTTGTTCTTTATTTTCAAAAATTAATTTTCTTATACACCTTGCCATAAATTAATTAACAGAAACAATTCAATGAACTGTACAGATCATTTCAAACAATATATATATATATATATATATATATATATATATATATATATATATATATATATATATATATATATATATATATATATATATATACATTGAGAATTAGTGTTTGTAAATGTTAACACATTATCCATAAACACTATAAAGGTTTGTACTAGTATTGACATACGATACAATTTGTTACATGGGTGCTTTGACTGTGTTTTTTCACTATTATATAAACTGAGGATGCATTATGTAAAAACGATACTGCTTACATACTGCTAACATCTTTTATAAGAAGGTCGGCCTCGTCTGTTATCAAAAGATTCCAATTTTGATATTCCAGAATTGATACACTTTCAAAATTTGGGTTAAGTTATTTTCATTTTATACTTAAAAGAGTATTATACGGCAGATCCTTACCTTCTCCTTTCTCGACACGTACACAATATGAAAATTGTAGTCATAAATAGGAGATGAAACCAAATTTACAAATATTTTGGATAGGGATACACTGGTGAATGTATAGAGGGATTAACAGAGGGTGATTCATTTGGATAATTTATATTTGGATAATTTAATATTTTATTAATTTGAGCGATTTTCTTTAAACGATAATTGTATCAGTGCAATATTAGGTCTTGACCAAATTTGGAATATGGAGGCAAATCAACAGCATCCTCTAGATAATAGTCTGGCTTTACAAATAGTGCTCACTTGGTCAGTGTAGATGAAAATTAAATATATCTGTAACCTTACTGCGACTCTCTGTGTACGTCATTACTTAAAATTTGTATCGGTTTTGAATCGAATATCGACAAAGCCAAACGATTGTTAAAGAAACTTTATATTTTTATGTTACCAACAGGAGGAACTAAATTTACCCTAAAGTATTCATTTCTTTGCTCTTCTACTAAGATTAACATGTCTTTTCTTACAAATCACTGTATGTTTTTGAATCTGACATTTAAAGTGATCATATCTTAAAATGTTTCTGGTTATATATAGATATTTAAAATGTTTACCGGTGTTCACATATTGATATTATGTTGTCTGATTTATGTTTTGATTGTGTCTAATTAATAGTTAACCTTGTTTGTTTTTAAATTACACATCTTTTTATCAAAAAACACTGAATTATCACACTTGTTAAAAATAAAGTTTCCGTGTAATAAACATTAAATTCCTTTTTCAAAAGTTAGAATTTTCTCTTTTTATATAACGTACGGTACTTCTGCTTCAGACCTGCATTTCTTACTCTCTTCTGTTGCTTCATGGCAGCTTTGACTTTTTTCATTGTTTCACGTTTCATTCAAAATGATTTTATGCCTTTTAGATTTACATTATAATTTTAAGTATTTGAATGTTGTTAAATTCAAAAAGTGTTGTACAATTGTTATAAATAAATCTAGTTTTTGAAAATATCTGGAATATTTGTTAGTTTAATATTAATTGTTATTGCTCTGGATAAAAAAAAAATTAGCCTTTTGCATGGGAAAATCTGCACTGAAGGCTTTTTACTTCATTAATTAGTTGAACTGCCATTCAATTATGACAATAATAAAAATAATTCCTTGAACTTTTTATTGAATATTTAATTTGAAAATGACAATCATTCATTAATTACCAATAAGACAGTGATGTAAATAAATATTTTCAGAACGTTCTTGAAATTAATAATAATTAAAAAAGAAATATACAGAGAGTAATCATTATTTAAATCAGATTTCCAAAATCTCTCTCTTTTTTTCTCTCTCTCTACAGAGAGAGAAGGGGAGAGAGAGAGGAATAATGAGTTTAGAAAGATGCAAACACCGAGAGAGAGATAATGAGACAAAGGTATGTTCGTGTGGACTTGATATTGTTCATTCAATATAGTTTATTTCCTTAATATTGACTTTATTCAAACGTATAGTATAGATTCTACTTATAAGTTGTGCATAGAAAGCCGCAATCTGACTGGAATAATTATTATAGTCATTTTAAAGCAAAATATATCTCGGACACTAACTTTAAAAAAATGAGTGTAAGAAAAAACTCTTTGCATTTCTTTTGCAAGTGCATGCAAGTAAATATATTATATGAACAATAATTATCAATGCAGGCATTGAAAAACAGGCTTTGTAAAAATGCAAAGAGCAAGAGCCACTTAGGGCCTTTTTTTTGGCCCTTTGAATTTCTGAAAATTCAAAACTGTGTAGTTTTAGTTAACAAGGCAATAAATAAATGCTTGGGCACTTGGTGAATGAATATCTACGGAAAATGACGTAATTTTCTTTCTAGTCAATGCATTATGACGTCATGAATTGCGTCATTATTCACATATCCTGAATATTTCTTCAAAATTGGACAAAAGATGATGCCATTTTTCAATATTTCGTATACAGCACAACCTCCGATCCAAAATGTGTAAATATATTATAAAAGAACTTTTAATGAAGATTATAAAACATGTTTTAATTCTTGGATCGAGGGGTGTGCTCATAATTTAATTCTTTACTGAAGGTTCTCAGAAACACCTGTTTTGTGAAAAATTCAATGACATTGCAATTTCACACAACCTGTTTTTCAATGCCTGGACTCTTCAAAGGAAATTCTGTTATATAAACTGAAAGCACTAAGTCTCTACTTTATAATAATGTTGAAAATGGTACACGGGGTATTAGTCAATAAATTGGTATATCTACAAGGTCATTTTATGCTTAAAGTGAACCTAGCTCTTTCTTGAATATTGCAGAAAACAGGCATATTTGACTACCTTCAGCAAAGAATTAAAATATGAGCACAGCCCTCGACCCAAAAATTATAACATGTTCTATGATTTTCAGAAACACGTCTTTCAATATGTAATTGCACATTTTGGATCAGAGGTTGTACTCTGTATGAAATATTGAAAACATACTTCAACTTTTGGCCATTTTCAAGGATTTGACAGGATATGGGAAAATGACGCATGTCATTACTCATAATACATTGACTAGGGAGATAATTACGTCATGTTCAATAGATACATGGTCACCAAGGGCCCAAGTGATAAATGCTGCATTGTCAACCAAAACTGAACAGTTTCGATTTTTCAGATATTCACAGGGCCAGAAAAAGCCCTAAGTGGCCCTTGCTCTTTATATGTGTAAGACGAAGCGTTTCACTTTTTATAGTAGTTTTGCACGAATTTGTTGTTTACTTTATTTCGATAAATTAATTGATTATTTACAATCAAACATCATTCAACTCCTCATCTCGAAGGATATCTAGATGAAGTGTTCATAAGTCGAAAATAAAGTGCTCATTGTAGGATCTTTAAGCATCTTTACCTCTTTGTTATTAATTTTATTCAAAATTGAATTTCTGTGTTATGCTACAGGTGATCTGACGGATGCAATAATACGGAAAAAAATATATATGTATAAGTAGTTGCTTAAATGGAAAATTTAATTTTTTCCTATTATGATCGAAACATTCATAACTTTTATAATGTAATATTGATCAGGTATGCATCTTTTGTTTTTTACATTGTTCATACAAAGTGGATGTAAGTACCCAAATTGTAGTATTATCCGTCCGATAAATGCTCCTGAAGTCATGGAATAGCTGACAGTTAACACTTCTTGGATTTATAGATGTCTTTTACAGACCGGATCAACTCGTTTTTTGTTATATTCTCAGCAAATGACAGCAATATTAAATTTTCAGGAGTATTTAAGGAAACATTTTAGTGAATAAAATACGGAGATAACGAACAGTATTCAAGCTCATTCAAAGAATACAAATCAGGAGCAGAGCAAACACGGACATCTAAAACATTAGAGGTGGAATCAGGTGCCATGGAGAAGTGAGCATCCCCTGCCGACTGGTTAAACACGTTTGCTCTTTGTCATGATGGGGGAAAAGGAAAAATCTTTAGACAATTCAGTGTGTAATAAAAAATGGCCTAATAATTAGTATGAAAAACGTAAGTCGGCATTTGACTTAATGATAGATTGTATTTGCTGACAAGGTCATTGCATCGACCACAGAACTTGTGATGACTTTAAACAAGACCGTTGATATTTTTGTTTCATCAACATGTTTGTGAATAGCTTGCCTCGTTTTAGAAATTGTTCGTACGTAGAGCATAATCTTGCGTATCGAATCAACTGAGAGACATAAATCCCATATGCAGGCGATAAAGGTATATTGCTACAAAAGTAAGGGAAGTTGACGATATTGAAAAAATTAAGTCATCAGGTTTATTGCAGAGCTTTGTTGGTTATCA